TTGAGGGTCTGTTTTGTGGAACCAAATATAATCATTTTGAGTGGGTTAGCTTGAAAAGAGGGTGGAAATGTTGGTATTATTATATCAAATGTACCGTTAATATAGATCTGCATTTTAGTGCCTAGAAATGGGAAGTGACCACGACTTTAGCTATATTAAACAGATGTACTATTGACAAAAGGAACACTCCATGTATAAAGAAACATTTCTATTTACTTTTTAATGTACTGGTGGAACTGTAGGGCATTAACATTTGTAAATAATTTGTTGCCCTCTAAAGCCACGAAGTGATCCTAAAGGATGCTTTATATTTATCAAGCTTTTCAAAACCATTATTCTTTTATCCAATTAAACTTAACATTTAAAAGGCACATATTTCCTAAGATGAGATTTTCTAGATGGTGTGTCATTTCAACACGGTGACTTGACTCTGGTAAAACTATCGGCTTCTCTTGAAGTAAATGAAGAAATGCACACGCACACTGTGGAAATGTAGCCATTTCGTATCTGGGGGCACTAAAAAGTGTTGGGTTGGGTTTGTTGTTGTTGTTGTCGTCGTTGTTCACCTATTGAGACGAGCCTAGCTGGAGAAGAATGAAAATATATCAGCTAGTTGTACCAAGTTCATAATCAATAAAAAGCTAAACACTTAAGCAGAAAATATATCACAGATTTGTTCCCCAGCAAAGCAACTGTTTTTACCCTGCCATCATCATCGGAAGCCACATTCTGACAGAAAAATCGTTTGCTTGAAGCAGCCGCAGTATAGGAACCCTATGTGGTCCTGTGACTCAGATTTAGGAATATTAGCCCCAGAAGGTCTGAAGACATTGTGCATTAGTATGTATTGAGACCTCATTCCAGGTGGCAAGCAGCTGGACTTTTTAAAAAATAAAACTTCCAAAATAAAGGCGAAGCGCCTGTTTCCAGGCAGTAAGTGTTATATTTAATCGAATCCTCCTCAAAATGTTATAAATTAGGCAGCAAAGGGAGCCGTGCATATTTAATATATTTGTTTTGTGTTTCCACTAGTCGACAGAATAATGAAATTCCTTAACTACTTCTCTTTAACTTGCATGAAGAAAGCACGGTATGTTGCTAAATCTCTTTTCACCAGCACTGCCGAGAAACAACTTTAATCCTTGTTAGAAAATTGCCGAGTCTGGGACTGACAAAGAGCTCATGCTTGTTCCATTGTTAGTGTTCCCCGGCCCCAAGAGCAGAGCCCTTTACAGCTGCGTGGATCCCGCCCGGCTCAGCTGCACTATTTAGGAGAGGAGGTTTGTCAATTTCTGTTGACAATGGAGAGAGTTTTTCAGGGCCTGTAGCAGTGCTGACACAGTTGGGGATCAATGCCAGCCATTCAGAATGCACCCTCTTTCATTGCTTTCGTTTGTTAATTCAAGACTAAAGGTCCACTGAGGGGGTTCAGGGTGTTTAAGAAAGCTGATGAACTGTTTAAAAAAGCTGATGAACTGCAAGCGTTTATAGCCCTGGTGTGGCAATTTCCATAGTCAGTGGCAACTCCTGGCACTGAGGGAGCTGTGTCCTTGTTGACCCTCTTGTTATTAAAAATGCACAAGTGCTGCGCTTCTCAATATTTCAACACTCTTTCATTGTCAATACCACCTTCTGAGCCCTTCAGCTTGTTGCTTGCTCTAAAGATCTTCTTAGATTGGGTTTGAAAACTTCACCTTAAACACTAGATTAGACTGATGTTCTGTTTTCCGTGCTCCTGTTGATTTGTTGAACCTTCCCAGGGCTGGAAAGCAAGTAGCAGCTTGATGGGGAGACGGGCTGCTAATATGATTTACCAGTCTACAGTCATGCACAATAAGTGTGAATAAATACAGGGGTCTCACAGAGTCAACCCTAGCCTTTCCTTTTCTTTTCTTTTTGCTTTAAAAGAGATATCTCAAGAAAATGAAGTGAGTAAGGCATGCCCTTACAGGAGTTGAATGAACCACAAAAAAGAAAAAAAAAAAAAAAAAACACATATATTTTGTTAAAGTGGTAGGCTGCTGGCATGGATTGATGGAGAAAAAAAGTGTAGAATATACACTAACTGCTTTATTCTTACGTAGACCAAGCAGGGAATAAAGCAGTAATGCCATACCCACGACTTGAGTGCAAGCTCCAGTGCCCCTTCGTTGTCATCCCCTGAAAGGAAAAGTGAATAGTCAAACAAGTTGCTTTATAAAATTAACTTTTCCAAAATGAAAGCACATTTTCTAACAGTCACACTTCAGCGCACATTCACCCCTTTCAAATTTTTTTTTCTTTGCTTTGGAGGGTGGTTTGGTTTGGTTTGGTGGGGTGGGGGGAATGACGCTAACTTACCTTTGACATTTTTCTCAAGATGAAAAAAATGGAATCTATGGTCCTCCACCCAGAAGAAGAACATAACCATTCCAACACCAGAGATAGGAAAATGCTAGTGATTTCTGTTTGGTGGTTTTGTCTGTTTGGTGTGTGTGTTTCACCATATATAAGAAAGAAGCAGTCCTAGTAAGGTTTTTTGTTTGTTTGTTAGCTTATTCTTCATAGCAACGTAAACTCTAAGCTAAGCTATTGATTTCTCTTCATCATTTGCTTGATTTAGCTGAAATTCTTCAAAGTGCTTTGACTTTGGAACCAAGAGATATGCATGATTAGCAGATGGAATAATTTTTCTTATAGAATGTTCCTTGTAGAATAATTTGTTTGCCTTTAAAGTAAGATGATGATGAAGTAGCTTAAGCACTTTATTAACATTAGTTCTTTTTCTCTGTTTTTATAGTTAACTTTAGATCATTTTATTCCCAAATTATTCTTCTTTAAAATTATGATTTTGGCATTGTGTTAAAGAAGTTATATTAATAATAAATTTCTGTGTTATGTTAGATGTCCTTTCAGTTATCACTTAATCGTAAGTACCACTCATATGTAATGGAAAAATGAAGTTACATTGACTTTAAATTACCTAAGGATTTTTTAAGAACATAAGATGCATATGGAGTAATTTTAAGAAAGCATTTTCATTTACTTCAGATTCATGCAACTTACCATATATATAGTAACTTTACAGTCTAACAGCCCAATTAACTTGTATGTTATAAACTTTGTACAATATATCGTATTTTGTCCCCCCAACTAAAAAAAAAATTATTCCTTGAAGAAGCACTATAATTTAAGAGTCATAACCATTATGACTACATTTTAGTTCTCAAGTTACTTGGAGGGTGGGCTGGGGGCGAGGGTTTTAATTCAGTATACTCATATTCAATATCACCAATACCTATGAGTGTTTACCTGCATTAAAATAGAACTCAAATAGTTGAGGCTATAACTTGAAATAAGGAAGTATAGAATTTAAATACCAGATACTAATCTATTAAGATTTAATATGTCAGCTGAAGTACTGAATTTTTTAGCAGTTTATTTTTTAAGAATTTAGGAGTATCTCATTTTATAAAACTTATTTCTGATACTTTTACATGTCCTGAAAATTAGGAAAGTAATCATTAGGAAAAAGCAAAACTGGGTACATGAGTAATATTTTTTTTAAACAACCATAGCCCATCTCACATTTTAAAAACGTGAATGTTCACTCATCCATTTAATATCACAGTATTCAGTAAATCAGTCACTCATTTTCATTAGCTTATCTCATTTTATGCATGTGCGTCCAGTATGCCAACAAACTAATAGAAATAAGTCTGATGAAATGTTAAACTAATTCATTTTTATATTATGCTTAAACTACCATTCCTTATACTAAATTTTATTAGAACAATGTTAGTAAATACAAGTCCAGGTGAATTTCAGACTTACTTGTATCACTTGAGATTTCTTTTAGAAATTTGTATTTACTGCTTTATTATGGAAGAAAAATATCTTTTAAGATTTTTTTCTGTGTTTGAATACCTAAGAACATATGCACGTACATATGTGATCTGTAGTGTCACTGTGTGTACACAAGCAAGGCACAAAATACCTTCTCTTTCAAAAACTCTTTTGTCATTTCCTAAATGCTGCGTGGACATTGATATTTCTCACAGTTATCTGAATGAATAGCATTATTTTCTTACAGTATTACCTAAACCTGGCTCTGGCGTGGAAGTACTGAATCCCTTAAAATGCCATCACTAATGGCAGATTGCCCTTTTTTGAAAATAGGAACAGAATTTCTTCTTTTTCTATACTCACAGGAGTTATATAGGAGCAGGAAAGTACATTAGAGAAGAATTTCCATTCTCCCACCAAGAGAGTTATAATAAACAGAGAGAAAATATGAAGCCTCCAGAAACACTTGCAAAATGAAACAGATTGTTTTCTTTTATAATTTGGTCAACTGACATCTGTTTTTGTGATTCTTATAAGACACAAGAATTCCATCCTGATAATGTTCCTTCCTAAGATCTGAAATCTTTATTTTAGGTGGTTTTAGACCATCTTGGCAAATACTTAACAACCGATAGTAGATAAAGGTGTGATTGGGGATTAGAGGTTAGTAAGCTGTGGATGTTTTTTGCCATCCCTCCTTTAAAATGCTATTTCTAGGTATTGCCTACATGCATGATGGTATCTACTCTGATTTTTACATAACATGCAGGCTAATGGGAAATTTCCCTTTGAAAATAATTTACCTGTTTTTTTCCTGCTGCCTGGCAGTCCATTCAGTCCCATAACATGTATTTAGTACCCATTGTTACCTACAAATTACAAAGCAGGTCGCTAGGCTGCAAGTGCAAAAACACTGTTTCCCATGAATATGTTACAGCTAAAAGACTGTAATGTTAATTCATGTAAAGAACAGCCTAGGTCAACTTAGCAGATTTTCTAGCAAAACATACAATTCTGTTAACAGGAAATTATAGCATTATTGACTTCAAGTGCTGATCTATGGTCATTTCAGAGTGTTTCGTTACCCCCTCATTACCGAATCTGTTAAATGAATACTGCAGAGGTTGTTTTCTTTTCTGTTTTCTTCCCCCCCCCGCCCCCACCCTTCTTTCCAGCAATGGTACAGCAGTTCCATGAAAGTCATTTGTGTGTGGTTGGCTGATAGATTAGACCTGCAGCTTCATATTTACCAACTGAAGACACTAATCAAGATTGTGAAGGTAAACAAAATGTGTTTAGATGCGAATTGCCCAGCAAGCTATAAAGAATAATGGCAAGATATTGACATATAAGAAAATCGTATTTAATATACCTGAGTGGATGTAAGTACTTTAAAAACATCACTTTCAGCAATGATGTGCTGCTGTTTATTCCATTTTCAGTTAGAATACTAAATAAACATAAATTTATTGTTTTTGTATTAATAAATTAAAAGTATTTTGTTATCAAGTAATCATATTTGAAGATAATATATACATAAAGCCCCTAGCACATTTACCTGAATCTAGTAGGTCCACGATAATTTTGTATTAATTGTCTTAGGTATAGAAATGTTTTCTCCTAATATATTTCCTTCATATTTATTAATATATTATTAGGAGGGCTTTTGAATTATATTTGCCCCTAGGATAAGGAGAGTCTCCTTTATTTTGTTATATCCTGATATGAAAGTAAAACATTGTCACTGCCTGAATTCTTTTGGAAGCATGCCCCTTCTTATATGTAAGAGATGATCAGTATGAGTGTCGGGGACCATCCATAACCACTAACAGATGTTATATCAGTTCAATGAGGCCATTTTGACTTCCGCTTTTCAAGAGGAAATGTAATCACATGCATGTTATATTGAGTGAGTAGGGGCTTTAAAGTAATATATTATTCAGCATGATTTTTCACACCTTATAAATTCCAGTGGAAATACAAAATTTACCACAGGTGTAACTTTTTCTTAAAATTGAGACAAATTCTACATTATGGCAAAAAACATAACTCTAAGCTCTTGTGAATCAGCTGTTCCTTTAAATAAGTGACTTTTACTTCCATTCTAGTACCATTTATCAAATGGTATACATATGCCATTGATGTATTTATATATATGTGTGTGTGCCTATATATGTGTATATCTATATTTGCATGTACATATATATGTATACGTGTATATTTGTGTGTATGTGTGTATATGTACACACACACACACACAGTGGTTCTCACAATGTCATTCCTGATATAACATTATCAGCATCACCTGGGAACTTGTTAGACATGCAAATTCTTCAGCTCCACACCAGACTCACTAAGTCAGAGTGTCTGAGAGTGGGGCCTGGCCATCTGTACATGAACAAGCCCTCCAGAGGATTCTGATAGAGATAAAGTTTGAGAAGAACCACTGTGTCACATCATTAAAAGTTTTATCCACATTAAAATATTTTCCACCATTCTCTTGGTTCCTGCAGTCTCATTAGAATATGAATTCTTTTGTGCCACAGACACATAGGTTATAGAAAGATCCACCAAGAGGAAAGTTCTATTCTAAAGTCAGAAATCGGCAAATCTACTGGAACATAGAACCAGACCTATAATGTCACAGTAATAGCAATCATGATTAACCATAAATAACAAGTAAAATTGTCACCCACTAATTTTAATACACTAAAACATTACATTTCAATTGACAGACTACCTTTGATCTAGAACACTTTTTACCAGGTGTTATTTATTTTACAAAGAAACTGAAAACACATTATGATAACGTTCATGTTTGCTTTAGTTCCTCCATGGTTTCTTCCTTGTTTCTACAAATGTCACTTGGAGAGCTTTCAACTGAAGTTTGTTTTTCATAAAAGAGAATCAGAATAATCTGTGTTTACCTTCTAAATATGTGTACATGTTAAGATTGCAGTCTATACTGTGACTAATATTGGGATTAGCTTGTTCCCCTTAGGATCAGCCATATTTTCAAGCTAATGTCTACTGTGTTCAGGATGTCAGAAATTACATACTCAGCTGAGTGGTATTAGTTGATAGATTGGTAAGCTCTTTCTTTGTTTTTATAATAAGAATCTCCATTTTTTATTAACCCATCATCTGTTTATTTCAAAGTTATTCCTCTTCTCATATTCACAGTCATAACAGTTCAAGCACCAGTGAATATTTTAACAGAAAAAATGATTAATAATTTTGTTAATTATAGGGTGACATTTCCATTGTATTCTAAGCCAGTCAGTTTATCTTATTTTAATATAGTCTTCATTATGGCTACCAACAGTCAAGACTGATAAATATGAAATTAAATTTCATGTATATGTTTGACTTTCCATGTTTTGTTTTTCGCAAGCAGGTCCCCAAACTCAGCCAATACTTTCTTGGGCTGATACATTTAATCAACTCATAGGGCTTTATTTAATAACTAAAAGTGACTATTCTCACAATGAAAATTAGGATGAATTAATTCAGTGTTCTAATTGGTTTTTTTCTACTTTGAATATAAACAGACTTTAACCAATTTCATACATAGATTCATCACTCTTCAGAGCCTATATGGCTATGTTTATAATGTGCATTTTCCAGTGAATTTAAGCGGCTATTCAACAGCACGTGTATAGAATTGTGCAGGCCCCGAGTAGGCTTTTCTTCCATCCACATCACTTAGACTGGGCCTGCATGTTACAGCAGGGTAGTGCATTCTACTCAGGAGCCAAGCCGAGGGCTACTGGACTCTGGCAGCCTAGTCCTTAGAAGCAGTGTCATTCTTCTGTGCCCACGGAGACCCAGATGCCACCAAGATGTATATGATAGCCAACTTTGCCCCACAAAGACACTTAGACGCCAATTGGTTCATTGACGTTGCTCACTAAGAAGAGACAAATTGCAGTAAGATATTCACAGAAGATTTAGGACTAAGAAATTAACAAAGTTTAAACATCAGAATGGTTTATTTGGGGAAGGGAAAAATAGAATCCTCAAATAATCAAAATGGCTGATGGATTTCTGTTCTCCCTAGAGGCCATTTGACATTTAAAAGCGGTTAACATAAATGAGCTGCCTCTTTTACTAGGAGAAAAGACGACAAGTGAGCAGCGCCCTGCGGCAGGCACTTGTCTTAAGTAAGAGCCAAGCAGACCTTCTTGGCAGCCACAGAGGATCTCTAAGTGTCAATAACATGTTATGAATTCTAAAAAGAGAGAAAGAGAGAGATTGCAAGGGTACCTGCCCTGCAGTGCCCCTAACTGCTTATTGCTTACTAGTAAAGTAAGGAAGCAGAGTCTTAATTTTATACAAATTAGAAAGTCTTTAGGGCTGCAAATCCACAATACAACTCTGTCCTGGCCAACTTACTGATAATTAAGCTAAGTCTAAGGAAAGTCATTCCAATAAAGTAAGAAAGTGGGACTCACAAACTTGGTATATAATTCTCAGTGGAACACTAATACTTTATTTCAGATGTATTATCTGTAGATGAATGTTTTTTGTGCTTGATATATTTTTAATCTAACTATCAGAGTGTTAGAGGCTTGAACAGAAATCTCTATGGTAGTAATACCATGCATACTAGTTACCAGATTTTTCCAGACAAAATTTACCTTACAGAGTTACTTCATGGGTTCTGATGCAAATTACCATATGTTTTGGTGTGAAAATATCACCTTAGTAATAATAAGCTTTAATGGTTTAGAAAGAGAATATGAGGATGGTGGGATTTATGTGTCTTAATACAAAATATTAAAATCAAATTAAAAGGACTACCCTGGTGACACAGTGGTTAAGAATCCGCCTGCCAGTGCAGGGGACACGGGTTCGAGCCCTGGTCCGGGAAGATCCCACGTGCCGCAGAGCCACTAAGCCCGTGCGCCACAACTACCGAGCCTACGTGCCACAACTGCAGAAGCCTGCGTGCCTAGAGCCCATGCTCCACAACGAGAGAAGCCCGTGCACTGCAACAAAGAGCAGCCCCCGTTCACCATAACTAGAGAAAGCCCACACGTAGCACCAAGACCCAACACATTATCTATAAATAGATAAATAAATAAATAATCAAATTTAAATAGTTTGGGTTATTTAAGAAAAAAAACACTAAATGTTTCTTGCTGTTGAGATACTGACCTCATACAGTACAGTGTTCCTCACCATTGATGAAGTTTATGTTTTGGACATGAGGTGGACTTTATTTATGCATTTTATTTATAACAAGTGAATATCACTTCTGAAACTTGAATGGTACCATGGAGCATAAGGCAGATGATATAAGACAGGAAGATAAAATGTGAAAACACCAGTGACACCACTACCCTGTAATGGTTCTGTTCCTTCCCAGAAGTCTGTTTGTAGACCAGGTGTGTATATCCAGGGGATTAAGATGCCATCCATCAGCACTTCCTACCTCAAGTGAATAAGCGCCTTCAGCTGAGCTGTTTGAATATTATATTTTCCTTCTAATTGTGTTGAGTGAAACCAGGCATCCCTTAATGTTAATTTTCAGCTATTGGAGTTGTAATTTGGGGCCAGGAAGTACAACGTTCCTTTTTTTATTTGACTTCTTTCATCTGTTAAGTGCAAACCCCCCAAAAAGTGACTGTTAGCAGTCATTTAGAACAAAAAAGTGGCACATTGATACGTATTGATACTTCGGGCCAGTCCATTGACATCTGGCTGTTTAGTATTCTAAATCTAACATAGGACAGTTAAAAAAAAATCTTTAAAGATATTTAGCATTTTAATGGCCTTAGAAGTGCCTCTACAGAATGAGCTATCTTCATTTGTGCTTTGTTTCCCCATTGAACTAACTCTAAAAAATCAGTAATAAAATACCAGCCTTGTTTAGTCATCAAAAACTCATGTGTGAAGAAAGTCTCACTTCAGGAGAAAAGTAAAATAAGGAAAGTTTTATAGGTTACATATCTTAAGAGCCACAGATATCAGAGTTTCGTTGTTATTCTTGTTTTTAAGAATCACTGTATAAACAGTAACATGATATTTGCACTATTTTTGACAGATAATACACCAAATAATAATTTACTGTTTCACACCAAAAACAGTAAATATGTTTTATTAGCCCATCAGTGGAAGTTTAATGCCAGAATTTAACACTTCACATTCCAAGACAATTTCAGAAGGGCAAAATTCATACAGACATTTAGGTGTACACAAATTTTTACCCAGTGTGCCTATAAATAAACTTTATAATTCACAAATGCTGAAAATGCAAACTTCTTTTAGTGATAATAGGATTAATCCTCTTCCCTCTACACACCTCCCCCAAAAACCCAATGCATTTTATAAAATGTAACGTATTTTTCAATACTAAAATAAAGGCTCCTCAATTGAAAAACTAAGAACTCCTTCATACTGAAAATGTACATAAGTGCATATCATTTTACCTTTGTTACAGGTTATTCAAATAGTAAATTCTGTGCAATTAGTAATATTTTGGGGGAAAAAAGCTCATTTGTCATCTGACAGTCACAACATTTTGATCTACTCAGAGTGATTCTAGTTTGAACAGCACTATCAAAAGTCTCTCATTTCATTTGCTCCCCAGAACCTACACCAACAGGATGACTGGCCTGGGCAGCTACAATCCGAATCCATTAGTGAATTGTCCAAGATCATTTCTGAAATGCCAACTGAGTATATATACATTCAGACATACACATATACATCCATCCAGACATATAATCCATAAGGGATCTAAGCAAATTCTCTCTCCTTCCTCCAGAAAACCTATAGGGACTTCCGATTGCAGGGTGTGTTGGAAGGCACCCTGAACAGTAAGACCTATGACACCCTGCACAGACGTTTAACAGTGGAGGAGGCTACAGCTTCTGTTTCGGAAGGAGGTGGACTTCAGGGCATCACGATGAAAGACAGTGACGAAGAAGAAGAAGGCTAATAAAATGCAGTTCTGCAGAAGGAAGGAGGGCCTTGACATTGTTTATTTTGTACCTGTCCTTGTAATTACATTGATAGTTTGGACCAAATATAAATGCTTGTATTTCACTCTACATTTTAAAAAGTTAACCTGAAGCAGAGTTAAAAGAGAAAATGCCAAGTATTTTTTTGAAGAAGATCAGCCTTTTTTGTGTAGCTTGATCTAAAATGATGATCTTTGGCTCTGTGATTGGAACATGAACCTTTTTTTTTTCTTAAAGAAGATTCGACTTTTTTTTCCTGTAGTTACATCAAAGTCATGTCGCTTGTATGAAGTGAAATATGTATTTCTCATGATACGACATTGTGAGAATAAGCCACTTCTCATCATTGCGCCAGCTCTATTGTACGTACCCTTGTTAAAATGGTGTGTACTTGACAGTTTATCATTTACGTGCAAGGTTTGTTTCCTAGTTAATTTATCATTGTTGTGATGTGTGTTAAAACTTTAACCTTGGCTCTTAGTACTCTGAATTGGTCTTCCTGGGCTTAAAGGATCGCCAAACCCAAATATAAACTAGATTATCCAATGGGCTTGTGTCTTGTTCCATTCTGAACATTTTTTCCTTCAAGTATAAAAATCCCAAAGTGTGGGGTAGTAAGTGTGCTGTCGTCAGCATACCATATTCTCCTACTACTAAGTGTAACAGCTTGCAGGCAATAAAAGTCCACTTGGTCCTAACCACTTATGTATTTATTAGACTTGTATAAATTAAATACAGTAAAATATGTTTGCAGTATTATAACCATCTCAGCAATTTGGCTGTGTGTTTTTATTGTGTTTGTTTACAATCAAATGAGTAAAAGATATTAACACTGCTTTCCATCTAGTAGGCACTCACACTTGTTAAAAGAACTGGTTAAATATGAGAGCATATTTCCATAGCAAAGCTGATGTTGACTACATAACTCATAGATTGTGTATTATTAGTTAACATTAGCAATTAGTGTTAATAATGAGTAATACTAGAAATGCTAGTAATGTTAACTAGCAATTGACATATTAACAGTTTTTCTTCCCCCAAAGTATTTTCTGGCTATGGCTACAATTTTAAATTGTAATTTATCTTTGAATTTTAATTTTTGTATTTTTTTCAAAAATATGCCAGCACTCATTCATAAGTAGTTTTTTTTGTTTTGTTTTGTTTGCGGTACGCGGGCCCCTCACTGTTGTGGCCTCTCCCGTTGCGGGCCCCTCACTGTTGTGGCCTCTCCCGTTGCGGGCCTCTCACTGTTGTGGCCTCTCCCGTTGCGGAGCACAGGGTCTGGATGCGCAGGCCCAGTGGCCATGGCTCACGGGCCCAGCCGCTCCGCGGCATGTAGGATCTTCCCAGACCGGGGCACGAACCCGTGTCCCCTGCATCGGCAGGCGGACTCTCAACCAGTGCGCCACCAGGGAAGCCCTCGTAAGTAGTTCTTAAATGAAGTGAGTTAATGCAGAATAAGTGAAGGTACCCCTGAATTTGTGTAAACGTAAGTTCTGAAGCTTTGGAAGTGAAACAACTTCTTGGCCCTCCAAATTTATTCTGGTGCCTGACCTAGACTAGCCCACAAAAACCTATTTAACCCACAGTTATTATATAATATTGCTTGGGCTCAATTCTGGGTCCTAGGTGTAAGAGACCCTGTGCTACAAGATAAACATGAATGGAAATTTCTTCTCCTTTCCTGGATTAGAGACCCACTCTACGAGCTCAGTATTGTTGAAAGGCAGTTTGTCTTGGAATGCTTGTCCTTCCCTTTCTTCTCCACCCTCTTGCCGATACTATCCTTTCTCAAGCCCTCGGGTGTCTAGTCAGGCTACCCTCAAATCCCCAATGGTACCCTCCCCAAGCTGGCTCTGCACAGCTCAAATTGCTCTCTACTTGGAACTTACCCACCCTTCTTTTCCTTTATATCGAATGTCTATTTCTTTGATGCAGCTTATCTCAGAGTAATTGGCCCATCTTGTCCTAAAGTATGAATAACTGATGAACCTACCCCCTTAGACATATATATACATATATGTATATATTTTAAGGAAACATCTAGCTGATAGAATTCGGAAATAAAGGGGAAAGCATGTGTCACAGGGGAAAGTACTTGGGGCCAGCAGGGTCTCCCTGCTGACCTGACCTATTTAACCTGCCCACTGGCCCTCTTTACTGGTCAGCCTCTTGTAGCTTCTCTCCAGATTTGGGTATTCTCTGCTCCTTCCCTTAGACACCCAGGAGATTTCTAAACCTTCCACCCCCACTCCAGCCTCCACTGGCTTGCAGGGAGAGGACAATAGCGATCAAGGGCAGGTAGTGGAGATGCTCACAGTTTTCTGAGGACTGTGTGGACTAACCTTTGAGCCACAGAGGGGTGTATGGAGAGAAATTTATAAAGTCACCCTGAAAAAGAATGAAAAGTTAGTTTGGGGCTTTTGCCCAGAAATGCTCTTCAACATAACTGCAAATTGCTTGAAATGACTTCATAATTCATCCGTATGTATAGCTGTGAGAGTGAATGCCCAAGCATCTGTCTATTAAAGGATACCAAGTGTTCTTTAAAAACAAAACAAAACAAAAATCTTTTTAAAAAGAATTTAATTGAAAACCTAACAAATGTAGTACAATTTTTGAAAGGAAAATCATTTTTAACTTCAAAGAAATAGCTCAACTCTCCTAAACGGTCTTGGGGAAGGGGGGGAAAAAGTGCATTCTTCGGCCAGTTCGGTGAATGTTGCAGGAGAAAATAACTAATACAGTCTAATGTCCAGCCGGAATGAGTTTGTTAAAGAACACACCTAGAGGGAAAGTTTCTCCAAGCTCTTGTGGAGAAAAATAATAATAAGGCCTTTTTCCCGGAAAGGGAAAGAACCACATAGAGCTTAACGTAAACCTCCCAGCTCCAGCTGTGGGTCGTTCTTGTATTCACGGATTTTTCCACTTGAATTCCCCTTAGTTCTTGTTCATTGTCCCTCGCTCTGGAGAAAGGATTTCCTGCTACTTTTGCAGTAAGCGCCCATGCAAAGTGTCTCGGGCCCCCCCCCCCCGCGCCCCCAGGGTCACAGCCGGCCTGGTCCCGCGGCGATCGTGGGTGAGGGGGTCCGTGAGCTCCGGGAAGGTGCCCTTGGTGGGAAAGCGGCCACTCAGTTGTCGCCATTCCTGGACCGCGAAACCCCTCCCGAGAGGGGCGCGCCCCGAGCCACCCCGCGAAAGCCGGGGGGAACCTCAGGCCCGGCGCCCCGCGCAGACCCGGTCTTCCGAGCCCCTCCCGCCACGCCTTTGGTAGAAGGACCGATGGAAGAAATTAGAGCAAGAGCTCGATCACTTTCATTTCTTACTCCCAGCACAGAAAATGGAAATTTCCCGGTCCGGGTCCCTAAAGGGAGGTGACAAATCGATGTTCCCGAGAGTTGTTCACGCGCCGCTGGCGGGGCAGCTACGCGGCCGGAGAGCCACCGAGTCGGCCCCCTCGCGCTCGCGCTTCACCGCAACCCCGGCCCCGCCTACAGCCCTTGACCCTTCCCGGCCCCGCGGGGTTTGTGCGGAATTCGGGGCCTGGTTTGGGGGGGGTGGTTCGGGAGGATGGGGCTCATCCCGCCTTTACACTGAGTCCCCATCCCCTCCCCGGTACTGTGTAGCGAGACGCTGTGGGCCTGGGTCTCCTTTTCCCTTCAAGTCCAGATCGCTGGACCCGCAGGAACCTTAGGGAAAAGCTGGCGGCTCGTTTGGCCCCGGTATTTAGCTGCAGATGGAGTCAAGCCCAGGGGCCTGGGCATCAGGCCAGAGGCAAAGAGCAGTTGCGACCCCGCAGCAGCGACGGCTCCAGAGCGCTTCACCCCAACCCCGGGAGCCCAGGGCGAGGCTTCCTCCCCCACCCTCCCCGCCTTCCGCCGCGTGGGCTGGTAGATGCAGGGCACATGTGCCTTCAACTGCCCTTCTCTGTAACGTTGAAGCATGATACTTTAAGGGGCCCGAGGCGAGTGCAGGCTGTGAGCGCAAAGCTCTGAGCCTGGGTTCTAGAAGCCACGGTGACGGTCAGCCACAGCCTCTATCCAGGTGCAATACGTGATCGTTTTAAGGGAGAAGGAGGCACTAGACTGTGAGTGTGTACAGCCGAGAGACCGGAAGTAAGACAAGAATTCGATGTGTTTCCCAAGTTGAAAAAGACCTCGATTTAAAGATCTACCCAGAAACGTGTGAACGTGACACAGCTTGGGGAACCGTAAGGGGCCAGGGCCTTAGAGCCAGGAAAGCCTGGGTTTGAGTGCCAACGACTACCCTTACCCGCGTCCGAGCTCTGTATACTTGGGCAAGTTATGTAACCTCTCTGTGAAGTGGGCGCTCAGTTACGAAGGTGATGCGTATAAGTTGTGGCCGTTGTTGACTCTTCATGTAGGGGTGGGTTCGAAAGAAATTGTGGGAGGCCTGCCCCTGCCAACATACACCACCACTCGCACCGCCCAGTTCTCGCCGGGTTGGCACAAGGCGTAGATCACAGTCATCTCGGCGGATCTTTGGCTCCGTCCCTAGCGTGTCAGTGGACTGGCTAGAACTGTCCAGTTTCAAGGTTATTTATACAGCCAGCCTAGTGGGAGGAGAGGAGACCGGGCGGGGCAAGTCGACTGTCTCCCAAAAGGGCCAGTATTCCGAGAGCAGCCCTTGGAGCTGCAGTTAGGAGGGGAGGCGGCTGGAGACGTGTCTTTGGGTCCACATGAGGATATCGTTTGTTGGTCAGGGCCTCCGAAACCGGACGGTTATGATCGGGGGGTGTCGGACCACAAGCGAGGAATTCCAGGCCTCTGCCTGTGACCAGTAGGTTGAGTTCAAGAGAATTTCAAGGGCAAATTGGTGTTCATTAGTGTTTTCCCAGATTTAAGGAGGCCTTTAATGGCGTCCTGCGTCTCAGCCCAGGGATGCGCACACGGCACGGGAAAATGCGAAGCAGCACCGGGAGTGAGGCAGAGGAGACCGAAGGCCGCCCCGGCGCGCCCCAAGGTGACCTCAGCCGTGGCAACAGAGTAAAAAACGGCAGGCTCTGAGGACGACAGCCAGCACGGAGTCCTGCCCTGGAGTGTTGAACTGACCGCCCTTCGAAGCCGTCAGGGAAACGCCCATAGCGTAGAGACCCAGCGCGGGGCCGAGGGCGCGCCCAGGGTCACGAGCCAGGATGTCCGTGGCGAGGGAGGTGCGAGCCCAGGTGGTGCTGGGGCCAAGAACGCGGTGGCCTTGAGGAGGGAGAAACTGATCACTCACCAAAGGGAAAGAGATCGCACCCTGCTTTGTGCCAGGACTAGAGCTGCTTTTTTTTTTTTTTTTTTTCTTTTTGCGGTACGAGGGCCTCTCACTGCTGTGGCCTCTCCCGTTGCGGAGCACAGGCTCCGGACGCGCAGGCTCAGCGGCCATGACTCACAGGCCCAGACGTAGAGCTGCTTTTTTAACTGGAGAGATGTTCCCCATCCCCATCATTCCTTTAAGATAGCCTACTTGCAGCTTCCTGAGTTCCAGACCTAGGAAACAGGATTCGTGCCCCACGCCCATCCTCCCACTCCGGAATGCCACGTTGCCTTTAATCTCCCCTACTTTGCAACTTTACACTGCGGGCCGCTGTATTTGTGTGCTTATTTGCAGTGCGATTAAAAAAAATAAATCATAGCTTCCCTGGTGGCGCAGTGGTTGAGAGTCCACCTGCCAATGCAGGGGACACGGGTTCGTGCCCCGGTCCGGGAAGATCCCACATGCCGCGGAGCTGCTAGGCCCGTGAACCATGGCCGCTGAGCC